GCAGCATTGCCTACAGGCTGAATCCAATGGGGCCTTTCTCCAGCTGGTGCTTCCCTTGCTTTCAGCAGAAATATTGTGAGGAGAAGGTTCAAGTAAGGACTGCAAAATGCCTCCAGTCCTAGGTCTAAATTCAAGCAGTCTCTAGTGCCAGTATTGAACTTTACTCCTTCTCTTCAGCTCTGAGAGGCTGAAAAGGCTGCTCTGTCAACAGCCAGGTATAGCCATGGAGTCTGGGTCTGTACATCCCACACGTACAACAGTGCTGTGGAATTCACAGACTTAAAATAGCCTGTATATTGATGTTGTCATCATTGTATGGTGTCTTTAATAGGCAAATAAAAAGGCTGATGGGAAAATCCTGGTAGTGTTTTTTGTTTGGTTGCTTTGGTTTGGGTTGGGTTTTATTTTGTTTTGTTTTTTTGCTTTGTTTTTAATGACCAATAGGTCAGCTTTAAAAAAAAAAAAACCAAACAAGTTTGAAGGGTTTAAGTAAGAGCTCAAACTGATCCTGGAAACAGAGGCACTTCTGAGAACTCCAAGTGTGAAGCTGTAAAGTCTTCATATGCAAAAAAAAAAAGGATCTTTAACACTTCAGCATTTGTCCTTTATTCAGCTGTCCTGTGTTGTTGCAAATCCAGTCAGAGCTGAAAATAGGCAGCCACTTCACAGAGGCTCTTTTTTTTTTTTTTTTGGCTGTTTGATAAACATACACTAGATACAAATTTAGCCAATAAAAGGTTCATGTAGTATGTATGTATGTATCTATGTATAATACATGCATAAAAGGGCTATTCAAAATGCATAGCAACCACTCGGCAGGATTTAATTTTTCTTAACAGTTTTCCATTTTCCTTTAAATTTGAGATGGGAGTGGGGGGTAGCAGTCAGAATCCTCGGCATAAATAGGATAATAATAAGGAAGTTACTGGTATTGTTGATGTAACAGTTCTTAGTAAAGCATACTGAATTCAGATAAAAGAAAGTTTCTGCATGAGTGAAAACTGTGAGAAGTTATTGGAGATTCCACATAGCTGTTAAATGCTGATGTGTTTAATCATATGAGAAATGAAAAACTAGCCAATGTTTTTGTGCCATGTTTCTTAGTTTGGTTGACACTTTTAAAAATATATTTTAAACACTATTAGTATTCTGTATGATAGCACACATAAATTATGTCAGCCAAACAGTACAGCAGGTTACATCATTGCCTTCTGTGACATTTATGAAGCCAGCATCTGCTGTGCACGATGGGTTGGCTTTTTCCAAAGCCTATCTATGGGGTTTACAGCCGGCTTTCCAAATATATGCCCTGCCATGTTCTTAAAGTGACACACACAAAAACACACACACCCGCACCAGATCACTAGCAGGTTTAGATTTTCATCCACTTTTCTCACTTAGTGAAACCTGTTGGAGTGTCAGGTGTTGTGTGTCCTGGCAGGGCGGACCCAAGAGTTAAACAGATATTTCTATTACAATAATGCCTGGACATGCAGATTGAGATTGTAATTCCATTTTAGCACAAGTGAAGGAGTATAACGTTTTAGTAGCTGTTTGTAGTAGCACAATGCAAGGGTTAAGGCTGATGAGTGATGTAAAACCTGAAGAATTCTGAGGCAGGGGTTATTTTTAGTTTTGGTTGCCTAATGATAAAGATAAGATTTTTTCTTTCCCCCAGAATAATCTAACCTTCTAACTGTCATTATAACCTGGTAGGAAGGTGCCTGAAGGCATTGAATCACCCAGGGGCTGGGTTCTTCTTAGGCACCTAAACAATCCAGCTTTTGCATAGTGCTGCTGAGGTGAAAATCCTGTTACCAAGAGGCATCCCAGTTCTCTCACCTGACTGAAGGGATCGGCTTCAGATTCCACTGCAAATCCCACCTGCAAAATGCAAAAGATGCTACTTTGCCTTTTTTTTTTTTTACCCTTAAGCTCTTCAGTGGCCTGAGATACCTTTCCTTGGGGCAGCAGCAATCGAGTCATTTCATCAAAGTCCCAGACTCTGGAGAACATGGGCTGTGCCATCACAGGGCTGCTTTTCAAGGATGCATCTGTGCTTAGCATATGGCAACTATTTATTATAGCTGTTGCATTGAGAAACAACAATTCCCATGATAATTGTTTCTCGTATATCAAGATGCTTCAATCTCTGTTTCCCACAACATTCTGCTTGTCTGGTATGTGTGTGCCAATGTCACCACACCCCCAGCAGACAGTTGTCTACGTTTTGTCATTACTGAGGGTAAACAGACATGACTTGATTGGGAAGGAGAGCGGGGAAGTGGACTGCTAATTTAGTCTGTCTTTAGTACTGCGCTGTGAAAGCAACACTGAATGATTTGCAGGCAATATTTACAAATCTCCCCTCCCTCAATACATCCATCCCCTTTCGTCAAGCACACATTGTTTAAGAGCATTAGGAAGGAAGGAAGGAAGGAAGGAAGGAAGGAAGGAAGGAAGGAAGGAAGGAAGGAAGGAAGGAAGGAAGGAAGGAAGGA